CAGAAAAACCCCAAGTGTTCTGATGAGGTTGCTTTCCTCCTTCTCTGTGAGCATAAATTGAAGATCAAAATCCAGCCCAAACCAAAAACCTTTAGAGGGCACTTCTTGTGCTTCGTGGAAAGCGGGAGCACACAGCTGAATCAAGGACCTCCAACTGGAGAAGAGTCACAACAATTCTTCTGATTAGTATCTCCTCTAGTTATTTAAACTTTCTAATAATTTCAAGCAGTTGCTACTTTGTGAACAGTTATCTGACTGAAGCTCCGTATCTGCTGTCTCTTCAAAATTCAAAGGTGATTTCTGAGGAAAGCTGAGCTATTTTTGTCCAGTAAGCATGAAAAGCGTGTTTTGGGAAACAAACAAACAAACAAAAAACTCCAACAAAAAATCTGGCTTAAGAGATGAAATTCACTAGCTTAGTCAGACAAATTAATTCCTGGACATTTAAGATGCATACACACAGTCTTCTGTAGGGAAGACTGCAAGTCTACCTTTAAAGAGAAAGTTAATTTATCCACTACTTCATCTAAACAGAAAATGCTGTTGCTTGAGCTACTTTGGCAGTGAAAGGGAAGGGACAAATAGTCAACAGCATCTGATACGCCAGAGGAATCTTGTGGAGCCAAACTGGAGAAATTTATAGGTCAATAATGTACATCAATAACCAAGAATTGCGATCACATTTAAAAGCTGGTGCAGTACCATGTTGGTAAGCTTCCATGGCATTCTGCACAAAATATGGTTAAAGACATCATTTTCTGAACTTCAGTGATGACAGTATTCACGTGACTCTAGCCTATTTTCTTTGAATGACAAAGCTTAAGTCTCAATTTTCAAACGATTAGTACTTAGTAGCTGATTTATCATGAAAATAAACAGAAGTTCTAACTTGGAAAAAACCCGCTACTTTCATGTTGTTATTCAGGTTGGTAAATGCTGAAAATTTCAAACAGTTTTAAATAGTCGTGTAATTATTTACTTATAAGTAGACAGTCCTGGGTGCAGTTAAGTAACGTACAGAAATAAATATTTTCCTTAGCTTCTGGCTGAATAATGTTTCCAAATGCGCATACCATTACAGCAATAGAATACTTCACCTTGTTCACTAAAAGTAAAGGCAAAATGTAAAAACAGTAAACTAAATGTAGTTGCTCTACTTAAGTGCTGTACTAATCAGAAATTGTAAAAATTTACATTGCGTGATTGTAACCATCTCTAGAACACATATATACAACAATACACATTTAGGAAAGGCAGAAACATAAAATGTAATCGTAATAAAACGCTATGCACATGCATATTTAGATATGAATTTTGGAAAATACACAAAAGTATAAATGCTAGCATTACGAATGTATTCCATGGTATGTTTTAAATCAAAACCTAAAGGTATATGCATTGCAGTAATCTGTGCTCTAAGCATGTCACACATAGTTTATAAAATATTTTCTATAAGTTTGGAAAGACTGTATAACCATAGGCTTTTTGTATATAGTCCTACTTCAAATTGTCTGAAGGACAGCTACTACAACTAATTGCAATGTTTTTTTTCCCAGGAAACAACGCCCTAAAATATAATGAGAAACAGTACATAGAAAATCAAAATGAAAATGTCCCTCCTTCCACCCCGCCATCCACAACTTACACACTTTTCCTTCTTTTTCCAACTTCTTCAAGTGGACTAGGAGGTTAACTTCTGCTGCTAGATGTAAATTTTCAGGGATCTCCTAATGGGAACACAAATGTGCATTTTGTATTTGTTTAAACATCTTCCAATTATTTTTTCAATATATGGAGCTCATGGTTTATTAACATAGATTTTCCTCTTCTGAACTGCCATGATGAACATTCAGTTAGTTATATAATGACAACAAACTGAAATGAGTAAATAAATTTTACCAGTTAAACTAGTAGCCTAATCACACATTTTTGTTTACTTTGCTCATTTTTTTGCATTATCCATTTGTATTATGCAAACTTCGGCCAACACTAATACGACTATGCTCTTCTGAGCTTGGACTGCACTGGGTTGTCAGTGTAGCTGAGCATTTTTAAAGACAAATTTAAAGATGGATTTCTCCACAGATACCTATCACTTCTATTCCATGACAATATTTGCATGGGTTTAAATATCCTGTAACAATTAATATCTGTAAATGAGTAAACAATTAAAAAATATAACAGCTTTAGGAGGACAAAAGGTCTCTGAAAATTTTCCAATGCTCATTAGGTAAAAACCAATAACATTTCTCAAAATCCCCCTCTCCAGCACTATCTTCCTAGAACTAAAGCCTTCTTTTTGAAAATTAAAAAGAAGTTCTCCAAATAACACGAGTCTGGCAGGAAAATTCACTAGAAAACTAGATCAATAAATTGTGAATCTTTAAAAAGCTTTGAAAGATTACACTTTTTTTTTTTTAAATATGAAAGCTTTAGTAGTACTGAAAAAATTCTTATCATATAGTGACAGGACAAGTGGTTTGCGATTTACAGAAACATGCGAATGGATGTATACTTAAAAACTGTAGCTGTTCAGGCAGGAAAACTGCAGGAGTCCGTATATGAATTCTGAACAAGCAGAGATCTTTTCTTTTTTTTTTTCTCTTTTAAAAAGCCACCACAGTCTTACTCAAATACTTAAGTTGTTACATACAATTTTATGAACATAATCTCAGTTTTCTTTAGTTTGATCTAAAAACTTTTAATCAACAATTACCTTGTATACTATTTTTACAAGCTCCAAGGATGTATATGATTTTCCAGCATTCTTCTGGAAAACATTTAGAATTTGCTGTTCACGTGCAATTCGGTGAGAAATGTAGCCTCGGATTCTAGCATTCACATCACGTACTACTGGACCATGACCTAAATCAAAACACATGTACCAGAGCGCTGTTACTTAAATTTGGAATTAAGTATGCTATTGAATAATTGAATCATTCTTATGTAAACTCTGGCAGACTTAAAAGTCATAAGAAAGGAGTAGCACCTGTACGTACCACCCTGTCAGAGTATCCTTGATGTTAAAATGTAAGACACTCTGCATGTTTTTTGGTTTGGTTTTTTTGAGGGGGTTTTTTCATATAAATAGGCCAGAATTAAGTTTGAATGTCTCCATCACAGTCTGCAATTGAAAAGCATTAAGATGGAAAGGAAGAATAAGGATCTGAAAAGTCTGAATGGGGAAAGGGGATACTTCACATGGAATAAGGAAAGCAAGGAAAGACTACTTTAGGCTATTAAAAAAAAACAAAAAAAAAAGGAAAGGAGTTCACCGCTGAACAGATTTGAAAGATGAGATTCAGATTATTATATCACCTCTGTCTGCCTGTCTCACTCTCCCCAAAGGATATTGACACTGATGATTTAAACTGATACTGGTCTTTGAACAGCAGCAGCTGAGGCAAAGGACTCATGTACTACTGTCCTGTTGTGGGGCTATCTAGCAAACACAGAGGGCGAGAGAAGTAACATCTTTAACTGTGACAGATAAATTTTCCAGGACAGATCTTCAGAACTCACTCATACACTGTACTTTATTCCCCGAAGAACATACTTTCATAAGTATGATCAAAAAAACCTCAATGGAAAACAAATCAGTGAGTCAATCTGAACGTGTCAGGGCAGGAAAAAGCAATGCACAAGGAAGTTTACATGTGGATCATTTTATGCCTGGCTGGTTAATAAACAAAACACACACGTTTTTTCCTGGACTTTTTGTGGCAAATCAGAAACGTTCAACTTGCTGAAAGGTCTTTGAATCAAATTAGAAAAAGGCTTAACTGGTAAAGCACTAACCTTTGTGGAAAAATCAAATACTGCCTCATGATATACTAAAATTACAGATGAAATGAAAATATTTTTCAGGTGTGAGTTACATGCACAGAAATTAAACTTCATATTTTACCTATAGAGAAATTTACTTGCATGAATATTTGTCACATGCTTTTTATAGCAAGGTTTCCTATTTCTTTGCATGTATACCTCACCTGAAGTAGCAGCAGCAACTTCCAGCTCTGCCAGTCTAAACTCCAAGTAATTTATAAAATGAGTAGAACAGAAACTACTGTAAAAAATAGCTTTCTTTTAGAAGCTATTTGGTATCATCCAAAACAGACAGTTTCTTTTGAGGTTCTCTGACTATTTTAAAAAATCATCATATTCTTTTCTTGTACTTTCGGGTGAACTGACTAAATGGGTTTTTAGTTTTAAGGCTTTGTAAATTAGAGCTTATTTTGCCTGAGGACAGGCAGCTTATAGAAAAAGAGCAACTAATTTTTCATGTTTTGAATATCTGTGAAATAAAAAAGTGTCAAAGGAATCTATCCTTCAGCAAGTCAAAATATTTATGCATATCTCAACTTATACACTCACTTCAGCAGTTTTGAAATTACTAAATATTCATTGAAGCTTACCTTGTGTAAAGATAGTATTATAAATAAAAGATATGTAACATGTAAATATAAAATTATATTGTCACATGCACATATATTTAATGATTTCAAACATTTAATCTGAAGCTATTGTTCCTTACAAAATAAATTACAAATATAACAGTATCTCTGGTAAATATGTTACCATTTATAAAAACAAAAGTTTAGATTTAGAAAAAACACATTAAGATATACAGAGCAGAGACTATAATGGCAACTGTCCACTCTCTTGCATTCTCTAATGACAGAAGTCACATTAAAGTATTCAAAATTAAGGTCTGCACATGGAATCACAAGGCTGTCTTAAAACCAGTCCCTGCTCTTCCAAGTGATTTCATTGACTTACACTACAAGACCAATGTCAGGACCTGGGATGGAACCCACATTTTGCAAAGTTAAAGGCATTTCATGTCCATTACATCATCTGATCCATAGCCATTGTGTATGCATATACATACATTAAAGTGATGTCAGAAAGCTGGGAACTAAATCCAGATGTGGATCTTTCTCATCCATAATTTTTCAGGACAGCAACACAGTTAACTTCACCAATAAATAAATCAATATCTGCATAAATGTAAAATGTATCTGAGCATGTGAAATATATCTCTCAAAATATGACCGTCTTTCCAATAATTCAGACTTCGTATCAGACAGCTTCATATTACTTCAGACCTCCGTATAGCTCAGATGATCAGAAACAGTAAGTTTCTATTCTCGTAACACCCTGTGAAGTAATATAGATTCTCTTACTTTACACATGAGAAATTAAAGCACAAAGAATAAAACTGAAGAAAATAATTGGCTCATGAAATCTTGCACCGATTCCTAACTCCAGTACCATTCTTTTCTATATTATCAAGGAACATCGTTTATTATCACAGGATAGGGAGCCCTCTGCTGACTAAAACACCCTTTTCTGGTCCCAAGTATTCTCATCAACTATTGGCTGTAAATAGACTATCACGAGTATTCAGCCTGAAGTCATTTCCACATTAAAGTAAAAAAGAAACATAGAAGGGGAAGGATTGGCAAAATTCAGCTACTCACACCTAGCCAGCAGTCAGCTTGTCACAAAAATTCATGCTCCCCTACATCTAATTCTGAGGCTGCAACGTGACTGCTAAAGCATGGATGGGGAACAGAGAAACAGTTCAAGAATTATGAATACCTAAAACTGCAATAAAGTCAAAGTATTGAGCTTATATAGAATGTATTGCTAAAGCAAACTACCTTTGGCTATAGTTACCATTTTACTGTAGTAAATACCAATAGTATAAACAATTGTTCTGATTGGTCAATAGTTATCTTTTACACAATTGCACATACGTTTTGTGATGCACGGATAAAAAAAGAAAGTTAGTTCCAAACCATCTCAATACTTAGCTACTCATCACTGAAAATGCGTAATATCCGACTGGCTTCCTAACTGCAAGTACAGCATGAACATACTTAAAACAGTGTAGCAAACAGTTACAGATAAACGGGACAAATACTCAACCTTGGTGAATGTGTGACCTAGATAAATAATAGTTAAGGAGAGAGTGAAATACAACAGATAAAATTGATAAACCTAATAGAATTTGGCATATATGCGGTTTTGGAAGGCAGAAATTCAATTAGAGGAACAGACTGTGTTTTGTAGGTATTTAAGAAACAAAGCAGAACATTTGATTGGTCAATAGATTGAGATTCTGGAGGCTAAAATATTCTTAGTTTTACCAGTCGTTAAGTCAATAACTATGAGCAAGTCACTATTTCTGTCTACGTCAGCCTCCACATTCATGGAATATCTATAATGATATTTTTCTTAAATAGCATTTTTATGGTTAGATCTTAAAGCACTTAAAGAGCACCTACTTCAAAAGAAGCATATTTTAAGACTGAACACAAAAGAGATTTGGTTATGTAGGCTAAACATAGATGGTTAATGGAGAAAGACAGAACTGAGAATGTAGCCAGTCGCTCAGAATGACAAGTTGCAGAAGATGAAACAGAAAAAGTCAGAAAAAATCCTGAGAGGTAGCTCTGAAAAAAACAAATGAGGAGCTTAAACCTTAGTTACATAATGAATTCTGAAAATCCAGTCTTGTCAAACAGAGATGTAGTTTATATGAAAAGTAAATGCATTCCCAAGGTTTGGGGGAGATAAAAGAAAAAAGTTAAAGCAAAGTCACAGACTGAATGAATTGACAACTTATTTTTAGAACATGATGTTTGGCCTCTTGGCTCTTGTACAAATTTAAGCTAAGTCATTAACTAAGACAACTATTTGACAGTTCTGCAGCTTTCCAAGATTAATTTGTGATTAATCTGTGCTGCAAAGGACAGACGTCTCTCTCAAAAAACATTACTCACAGTGGCAGTGTATGTGGGGATGCAAAGAACCAAAGAACAACTATTATTTTTTCTTCCAGGGTAACATTAAGGTGCATAGATAGAGTAATATAAGAAAACCAAATCTGCCATATGATTCCAACAGTGAAAGATATCTATCACTGAAAAATTTTCAAGTCTTGCAAACCACCATGCCATAAAGTCATCTTAGCTTAGCACTGGACATACATTAAGTAATGAATTTGAATTGTTACATTAGTAATGGCGTTCGATTGCAGTAAGTGTACTCAAATTCTTAGGAGATATTTAAAAATTATATAGTAAAACAGAGCAGTTAAAAATAGAACCACTTACCTGGATATATTAAATCTAGTTTCATTTGTAACAACCTTTTCAAAGTTTTCATGTAATCACACAGGTCTTCAATTACTGTTGTTCCTTCCCCTAAAACACAGTCACCAGAGAATAGAGCATTTTCTTCTTCTAGATGTAAAGCCATATGATCATCAGTGTGTCCAGGCGTATATAAAACTCTGTTTAAAGAACAACAACAAAAAAGCGTAAGTTTTTCATACAGCATATATGCTTCATTTTCAGAAGCTAGAAACAAATAATGATAAAATCATACACTTACAAAGCAGCCCACAAGAACCAGAAAAAAATAGACCAAAAAAGGCTGAAATGTTGATGTAAACAGGGTATCACTTTGTCTAATCCCAGTCCATTTTCTTATACCATGTAGAGAACACGGATCGTCATCTCTAACATGCTTTTACTTACATGACACATCACAATAAAAGTGCATTAAGGGAGCTGGCTAGTCATGTAGAATTTGGGTTATAGAGGGCTTTACTCTGAAGCTTTAAAAAAGAAAAATTGACATGTTATTTCCTGATTGAAATGTGTGAAATTCTTGACGTACACCTTGCACTTAGCAAAAGAGGGTAAGGATGATGCCAATTCTTTTAGAAATTAACTGTAAACTTCTGGGCCCAACCCAGATAAAGTTCTGTCTCCTGAAATTTGTTTTTCCCCGAAAGTCCCATGACAGTGGAGCAGAGCTCTCAAATACAACAAGGAATCATGGTCTTTTAGCTGTTTTATGTGCAGGTTATTAAACATTTGAATGGTAAGGATTTGGGACCCAACAGCTTGAATGAGTACTGCATTAGAATGCAGCAAAGGGTGAACGGACAGTTGATATGTATATAGTAACCTGAGCTGCTAAGGAGCTGCACTGCAGTGTCCTTTCAACTACAATTTTTGAAAGGCAGAAGGCCTCATGCTGAGGCTGGTTCAAACTGAAAGTACACAACTCACACCAGCATCACTGCTGAAATTCATAAGAATCTTCTTGTTAATGGCAGACGCATCAAAGCAGTGATTAGGAACTGACAGAGCTGGTGCCAAGCATGGGGTACAGGCCAATGCTAAAGAGCACCCAACCATGTCAGTGCAGGGCTGGGGTGCCAGAAGCACAGCACCATCTGATGCAATGACTTCCAGCTCTTACTGAATACTGATTTCAGCAGAAAGCCGGTGAGCCATTGCCCTGTGGAGGCAACATAAAATTCAAGCTGATAGGTTGCATCTTGCCTTTGTAGGAAGTGGTATCCTCCAGTTCCTGATGAAACTTTACCCGGAAGCTTAACCATTAACACGGAAAAACAAAGGAAAAAGAACTCAACACTGCCTGGCACACCTTGAAAACCTGAAGGTTGCTAACTAAAATTTAACATGCAGATACTCCTATTTTGGAACCAGTGGTAGATCTAAGAGTATCCTTAAAGTGCTTACTAAATTAACCAGGTGAGAATACCTGCTTTTAACCAAGCATAAAGTTTGGCTGCATTACCCCAAACTTCACAACGTGCCGCCCCGTCTTACTTGGATTCAAATTTAACAAGTTGTTTTCCATCTCTAAATTGATTTTGTCCAAACATGGGCCACTTAGGGTAGTGATAGGTCTTCAATACTCAATATTAATATTCTCCATGTTTGGTTTTTTTTCCCCCCCCACTAACAAAATAAAATGCTTTTGGTCAAATATATCCTTTATTTTTATGTTTTTTTCTTCCAATCAGCCAGCTGGCATATTCTACAAGTGGGCTATAATTCACATCTAAACAGAAGAAAACAAGCAAAATTTGTCCTTAGAAGAGTAATGCCTTGTTAATGAAAGAGCTCTGGAAACAGAATGGTCAGATTTTTTTTTTTTTGTGTGTCTCTCTCTCCCCCTCCCTCTCTCTCTCTCCCTCTCTCCCTCTCCCTCCCTCTCTGTCAGAGTGGCTTTCTGTTTCAGACTCATTCATGCTAACAAGACAGGCAATATGCTCTCTGGGAAAAAGCCCTCCCAGATTGGCACCTTACAAGAACCTGACAGGTTAAAGGTTTAAAATTTAACATTTTAAGTATTCAATGTTTTAGTGTCTCCTTGGGAAATATTTTTAAGGTAAAAAGAAAGGCACACTAAATAATCCATCCAGACTACTATAAACTTCCCCAAAAGTATCAATTTTAATAATAAACTACTTATCTAAGAGTGATGAGAAAGTATGTAAAATCCTATTTGATTTTCCCGGAGGAAATATTTTTCAAGGAAAATGTTCTTAATTTCTCTGCTGAGGCCAAAAACCAAAGGCTAATTCCTGATAATCTTCATTCATAAAAACAATTTCTTTGTATAAACATACCCTGCTGGATCATGATAGGAAGTCTACATGCGTAAGTGTTGAAAAGATTAGATGTATGGATTGCCAATCATTAGAAGTTAGGATACATATACGTGTCAGAGTTCTGAAGAAAAAGGTGATCCAGCAAACTTGCAGAAATTGGTGTTTACCTGAGCGTGGCTCCCTCTGTCTGTATCACATCTCCCTCTTTAAGATAAAAATATTTATGTCCTCCTCCTATTATTTCTTCATGGTGAGGGACACGAGGAAGCTTACAGATGCGATATTCAGAGTCTATTTAAAGAAAGCAAAGAAAAAGGTGTTTTGAATTTGTCACTAACAAAGCTAATTCCACAGAAAGGCTACTTTTTGAACAAGTTCTATTAATTATTACACAGTATGAATACAAAACTAGAAACAAGAAATTCTGTACAGTAACTTTATGTTTATAAAGCAACCTTATTCCAGAGCCACAAACAGTGAATAGTGAAAACCACTGAATCTGAATACTGTACTCTGTACCAGCAGCAATTTTGAAGACGAAAAAGCACAAGTGAAATTAGTAAAGAAATGTCAGCAATTATTATATTTTACAAGTGTTCCTTCCTGACTCATCAAGAGCCAAAACCTTCAAGTTTCTACAACAACACTAAGATTTCTGTGCTCATGTTCTGCATTATGATTCATAGAAGCACTATTCAACATTTGCCTAACACTGGATGGAGGCTTTTTGATCTGCAACTTCCCTCAGCGTCTATCGTTCTGAGCTGTGCATGAACTGTGAATGCCTTGGCTGGAACAGCTATGGATAGCAACCCAGAAAGGTATTTATATCGCTTGCTAGTCTTTACAACCATGCTCATGGGTTGACAAGACCAAAATACTCACAAAGACACCAATGTTGTTTTCAGTAGTGCCCAGGCTTCTTTGCAGATAAGCACCTGGCAACTTTACAAAATCTGGAAAAGCCTGTGACAAAGCTTGTGACAAAGCCAAATAACGCTAAGAACTGCATGATGCATATTGCTTATTCTCTTCCCAGATACTGGGAAATGTCTCTTACCATTTATCAACATGAAATACAAATTTTTAGATCAGAATTTACCTGCAGACTGCCCTACCCTCTTCGTCCTCGTGATCTGAGGCCTACGAATTTGTCAGCAATTACTAATGGTCTGCTGTAAGGAATCTCAAAGTTGTGCAAGCTTCTTTTTCAGAGATTAAGTTATTTACTGTTTTTACACAAGCGAAAATAATGGCCAATTTGTCACTACTGTCAATGTAGAAAGGAGTGACTATGAAGTTTTTCTCATATCTCTTCATATCATGTAAACTTGCTGATGGCAATCTAGGTTCTCATTATTCACACATAAGAAACATTCACTATAAAGGTATGCACAGGTATTGAAGCAAAACTGTAGTACTACAACTACAATATTCAGATTATTCATTGCTCTCATTCTACACGCTGCCACAGTATCATGAAATTACATGTAGTTTATATGGAGATTCCAGAAGAATAATCCAGCTGATTTGCACAGAAGCACTCAGTAAAAGCTTTTTCTTGCCACGTAGTTAACATTTTCAACAATATCCGAAATCTCTGGCCTACCATTAGGGATGTTTTTGCAGATATCAGGTATTCCACCACTATGATCATGATGCCAGTGTGTCACTAAAATTTCTTGAATTGAGATGCTGAACTCTGAAAGCGCCTGCTTTAAACAGCCAATATATTCAGGAGTAGCTGGCTCCCCAGTGTCAATAAGGATTCTTCTACATATGGACAGGAAAAAAAAAAAAAAGAGAGGGGGAAAAAAAAAAACAGTGAGAGAATTTAGAGTGCTCATGTGACAGTTAAATAAGAAACAGTTAAAAAAGAACCCAGCATTGCATGGAAACGTGGTAATAATGGATGTCTCCGTATTCTAGAGGCCACCATCTCTTCCCTCCACGATATTCTACCCCCGTAGCGTAACAATTTACAAAGGGGGATCAATAATAAATTTAGTCCACACACTTGCAACTCCCGGACAAGTCGCTGGAGCTACCGTTTAGTACCGCCGGGGAGCTGGGAGGCCTGAGGGGAGGCACCCACCCGCGTACCTTAGGCAATTCCCCGCCTCAGCCGAACAGTCGCCCGGCCGAGGGTCCGCACCCCACCTGCCCAAGCCGCCTCCGGGCACCCGTCCCGAAAA